TGCTACAAGGAAGTGAAATCCAGACATCGGCTACATGGGACGCTCCTCAGAAGTAAGTGGACGTCTGTGTGGCTCTGTGTGCGCACAAATCAGTCAGGTTTCTCGGCATCCTCAAAAGTCAAAAGGCTGTGTCGGGCAGTGTTGCAAGATTCAATAAAAATTAATTCATGAATGAGGACCTACAGAGTGCTGAGCTACGCATTTGGGACACCCTTGAACCAGACAATTACTAGCTCTTTGTCTGAAATGCAAATGTACTACCTCATTCTGTATTTTATTTGGCAACCTTGCCGACAAAACATGCACTAACAAGAGCTGGTGAGATAGCTCAGCGGACTAAGTGCCTGCTTAGGCAAGCAGAGGGACTGAGGTCAGTTCCCTGGCGGCACCACATGGCGAGCCGGCCCTGCCCCGGGGTGCACTGAGCTGGGGACTGAGTTCAGGTGCACGCTGCCTGTAATCCCAGTGCTAAGGAGGCTGAAAACAGGATGATCACTGAGTCAGAGCTGTGTAGTGAGACTCTGTACCAAATACATTAAAAAATAAAGTGCAGTGACATTTACAACCATCTTGATTAATGGAAAAAGGATCAGGCAAATAAAATAAAATAATGAAAAAAAAATTATATGTAGCTACGACGTAGTATGTACAAGTACCAATTCCGCCCAAGGAATGCAAGTGTTAGCATTGCAAATGCGTGCTGACAAAATGATGACAAAATCCAAGCGGTGCCTATAGAGCCTTCCACTGGCCACAGTGATATTTGGTAGCGTATCTGGATGTATGCTTAATAAATTCCTACTACAATGGAAGACATCGTCATTCTCAGCCCTTGTTCTGGCCTTTCTCTGTGCATAGCCATTGCTAGTGAGATTGGCTTTCTCTGTAGCTGATGTTAAATACGGGAGCTGTAAAAGTATCGGTAGATTTCACTGAAATAAACACATTTCTCTTCAAAATAAGGTGCCAAAAAACAGTCAGTGAGAGGAAGTCACAGATGCTAACAGAAAAATGGCTGTATTTATCATTCATTATTATCATTCTTACCATTATAATCATTATCATGTAAAAATCCAGGTGGATCAGTGGTACAAATGCTAAATAATAAATGAATAAAAAGATTTAAAAACAGAAAGGCAAAGATGTGGATTTTGGCCAGGCATGGTGGTGCATGATTATAAACCCAGCACCCAGGACACTAAGGCAGGAGGTTTGTTGTGAGTTTGAGGTCAGCCTGGCTACATAGTGAGCTCAAGGTCAGCCTGAATTACACAGTGAGATGGTGTCAAAATACAAACAACAAAAAGGAAAGAAAGAATGTGGATTTACTTATGATCTCGAAGTGTGCAAATGTTTTAAAACATGAAAGGCAGATGGCAGGAAATGAAGACTGATTAAAATATTAGCCAGGGGAACTACCGGCTCGGGCCCCCCTCCTGTCCCTTTGTCAGGACAGGAGCTTTCTTTCTCTCAATAAATATATTCTACTCATTAAAAAAATATTTAAGCCAAATACTTCAAAATATACACATGGAATTCCAATAGATCAAGTAAGTCCTACACATGTGGTAAAGAAAAAACAAACAAACACATTTAAAGTGAATGACTCCTTTTGAATAAATGAGACAAATGTGTCCAGACTGTGACAGACTAAAGACTGATTACCTCAGCACTTGAGACTCAGTACATTGAAATTAGAGTTTT